CATCATCATCATCATCATCATCATCATCATCATCATCATCATCATCCTTTTCCTCCTCCTCCTCCTCCTCCTCCTCCTCCTCCTCCTCCTCCTCCTCCCCCGCCCTCCCCGGCCATGCCCCAGCCGCAAAGCCCGCGAGAAGAGCACATTTTGGACACCCTGCCGCCTACCGAACTACCACGCCACCCCAACCCAGCCCGAAAAGGCCCGGCCTTCGGGTTGGGGGGTGGGGGGGCGTAAGTACGGGCTCCTTCTTGCGCGTTTCTTCTATCCCCCCCCCCCCCCCGCCCCCCCTTTCCCCTGTCCCCCACCCCCACCGGAAATGGAGGGCACATCGGGACCTTCGGGCTGGGTCGGGGTGGTTTGGAGGGCGGGGGGGGAGCCCCCAGGGTCGCTGGGCGCCCCCGCCCTCGGCGTCTGCGAGGCCGGGGTCCAACGGGGAAAAAAAAACAGGGCAAATCCATTATGTAGTCGATCCCCTGCTCGAGACAGACAGACATGGGGTCCGAGCAGATGGGGTCGGAGGATCGAGCTGCTTCGAACACGCATGGGCAGTGCATCGGCGACGTGATACATCGGCGATGCGGCGCGATCCTCCGACCCCATCTACTCTGACCCCATCTGGGAGGCCTAAAAGAAGCGCCTCGCCCCGCGCTTGCAGTCTGCACCTTCGGGCCAGCAGCCCCAGCCGTTCAGCTACCCGCGGGCTTGAAATCTTAGCGGGGCTCGCAAGAGCTCCTGACCCGCTCCCAGTCATCTGCCTGGACCCCGTCGGGGAACTGAGTCGACGCGGGCAGCCTCAGAGGGTAGTCCACCTCCGACCCTTTCCCCTCTGGAGGCGAGGTGCACACGCAGAGCGCCCTGTGCACGTTCATGGCCGCCGCCAACGCGCTGTTGAAGTTGGCGGTGTTGTCCGGATCTTGCGTGACGTCGATCTGGACCGGCCAGAGCATCTGCTGTTCGCTCCTTCCGAAGAGGTCGTCATCAACACGCTTCGAGCCGATATACCAAAACTCGTCCGCGGCTCGCCGGGCCAGAGAAAGGTCGCTGACGTCGCCCTTGATAGGGGTCCAGCCATCCGTGAGGTTGCCGTCGAGATTGCTCGACGAGTTCCCGCAGAAGCTTGCTGTGGGCACCTCGCGAATAGTGAGGCGCGGGTACCGCCGAGCCTTGTCCTTCCAGCTCGGGTCGTCCTTGTACGTCTCCTCGACCATCCTGTAGAAATGGCTAAATACAGCGTCGATCGTATACCTGGCCCGCGGCATGTGAAACTCGGACGTCACGATGTAGAACTGGCCTGTTCCCTTGGGGATCCATCGCAGCGCAAACCAGGCATTCTCAGCCGTGGTGAAAGCCTGCGACTCGAGGATGATCTTCTCCTTCGGAATGCCCAGATCCGTCAACACTTTCGCCATTGCTGAAGCCTCGGTGTGTCCTGTTCCCTTGGGGTCCCCCCCCGAGACAATGAGCGCCTCCACTGTGCCGTTGTCGAGCAGCTCCTTGGCCTTTGTGGCGCGGTCGACGAGCAGCTGGGAAGCGGTGCCGTCCGGCTTCAGGGACTGGCCCAGCACGATAGCCACCGCCTTCTCGGCTCCCTCCTCGGCAGGAAGCAGACACGGACAGGCGACGTCCTGACCTTTTTCAGTACGGGGCCCCCGCAAATCCCGACCCTCTCCCCGGGACCGTTGTCGTTCATCTTGGCTCGGTTTCTTTGACAGCCCTGGGGCCCTGGTGAGGGGCCCCCAGAGGCTGACAACGTGGAGTCGCCTCCCGTCCTGGAGCTCTCACGTCGCGAGCACGTCTGGGAAACATGCGCTAACATACCCACAGGTCGGGGGAAAGTAGACTGGGTCCCGTCCACCCCCTCGGCAGGACGGGCAAGGCGAAGGCATCCACTCGATCAGTGAAGCGGGAAGGCGCTGAGAGTAGATTGGAATTCGGGCATCCCAGAAGGCCTACTTTCGACGACCGAAGGGTAGACGTCGGAGCTCCGCGCGGACTTCTGGGAGAGGAGGAGGAGGAGGAGGAGGAGGAGGAGGAGGAGGAGGAGGAGGAGGAGGAGGAGGAGGAGGAGGAGGAGGAGGGGCGCTGGACGCCCGCCCCCCCCCCCTGGAGCGCGAGGTGCGCCGTGGGGCGCCGTCGGGGGCGCTGCCAGGAGGTCCGGGCGCCGCGCGGGGCTACGACGACGGATGCTCCTTTTGGGGGCACGAGCGACAGCGTAGAGATCCCAGGCAGGATCGCGACTTCGAGCCAAAAAAAAACAGGACGGGAGGCCGCTCGCAGTTTTCGGCCTCGGAGGGCCCTCGCCCGGCCTCGGGACCGTCAGGAAACGGCGCGGGGTGCAAAGCGGGTCCCGGGGCACGGGCCGGGACGTCCAGGGACCCCGCACCGAAAAAAGTCAGGGCGTCGCGTGTCTGGGGCTCCGTCACTCCATGGACCTCTCCAAGGGTGCGTCATGGCCAGGATTGCGGGGCGAATCCAGCCATGGCCAAAGCAACAGGATCGGTGCTCTCTCCCGGCGCGTGCCGCTGTTGCCCCTCGGTTCCTCGATGGACGACAGCCAGGGGGGCACCTCTGACGGAAGAGCAACACACACTCAAACCTTATAGGGAGGAGGCACGGGGAAGGGCAGATTGATGAACGCGCGATGGGGGCGGGCGCGAGCTGTCCGGCCCCGAGGGAGCTCCCCTTCGAGCGGGGGCCCCCGTCTGGCAACACACACCCACAGACCCCACGGAATGCCACCCCGAAAAATCGATGGATCGCACAAGACTCGTCTGGGGGGTGAAGAAGACGGAAAGAGGCACCACGACCCCACAGCTGGCGACAAAACACCAACGCCCCCTCACACCTGAAGCCTGTAGTTGAAAGACATGCTGGTGCGGCCAGGGAGGTTGCACCTGAAAGCCGTTCGCTTCCTCGCCCAGCGTGCGGAGCAGACGCGCACAACGCCGAGGGAAAGGAGGGAACGCTCCCAGGGGGACCGCGGGTCTCCTGCTCGCCACCCTACTTCAGGAGGGCACAAACGGCGCCGTCCGTCTTCGCCACTGCCCTGCACGTGTCCTCCATTCGGGAAAACGTGAGCAGGGCCGAAATCCGATCGCGATCGCGCAAGGCATTACACGTCGGTCGGAAAGAGAATGTAAACACACGAAGTAGGAAGGCGGATAAAGTATATTGGGTTCAGGCTCTCCCAAAGAACGACAAAACACTGCAAAAAATGAGTTTCTTGAAGTAGGAAGGCGCGTGAAGCAAATAAGGAGCCTGGGAATCCCGAAAAAAACATGTACGTTCAACGACTCGCGTGCAAAGGAAGACGGGAGAAAGCCCAAGGAGGAGGACGAGGAGGAGGAGAAGAGGCGGAGGTGGAGAACGACAACCCTGAGATCCGACGTAACGACAAATGTGCAACTTCGCAAAAACGAGAAACAACATATATATATATATATATATATGTGCGTGTGTGTATATATGTATGTATGTATGTCTATATGAATAGACATACATACATGCATGCATGCACGCATGCATGCATGCATGCACGCATGCATACATGCATACGTACACACATCCATACATACACATATATATATATATATATACACTAGAACCACGCGCGCGCTGCGCGCGCGCTTAGGTTCTGTCGAGTCACAGACCCAGGAATCGTTGTGAGAAGAAATTGGTGACGCGAAGCGTCGTGGGGGCGTCCTTGGACGTCTGGGGTCTCCTGGGGCCTCTTGAGGGGCCTCCTGGGGGCCTCCTGGCGGCCTCTTGGGGCGGAAGGCTCGAGCTTGCGGTTCGTGGTCCCCCTCTGGGCCCCCTCTTGGGCCCGTCTTGGGGCCCTCTTGGGCCATCTTGGGCGCCTCTTGGGCCGTCTTGGGGCCCTCTTGGGCTGTCCTGGGGCCCTCTTGGAAGCTTCTTGGGCCGTCTTGGGGCGGTCTTGGGCGCCTCTTGGGCCGTCCTGTAACGTCGGAAAGCCCAAAAGGCAACTTTGTTGAACATGTACGTTTTACGAAGGGAATGGGCCAACTTTTGCGTCTGGGGCCCTCTTGGGACGCATGTTGGAGGCTTCTTGGGGCCTCTTGGGGGCGTCCTTGGACGTCTGGGGTCTCCTGGGGCCTCTTGAGGGGCCTCCTGGGGGCCTCCTGGCGGCCTCTTGGGGCGGAAGGCTCGAGCTTGCGGTTCGTGGTCCCCCTCTGGGCCCCCTCTTGGGCCCGTCTTGGGGCCCTCTTGGGCCATCTTGGGCGCCTCTTGGGCCGTCTTGGGGCCCTCTTGGGCTGTCCTGGGGCCCTCTTGGAAGCTTCTTGGGCCGTCTTGGGGCGGTCTTGGGCGCCTCTTGGGCCGTCCTGTAACGTCGGAAAACCCAAAAAGCAACTTTGTTGAAAAATGTACGTTTTACGAAGGGAATGGGCCAATTTTTGCGTCTAGGGGCCCTCTTGGGACGCATGTTGGAGGCTTCTTGGGGCCTCTTGGGGGCGTCCTTGGACGTCTGGGGTCTCCTGGGGCCTCTTGAGGGGCCTCCTGGGGGCCTCCTGGCGGCCTCTTGGGGCGGAAGGCTCGAGCTTGCGGTTCGTGGTCCCCCTCTGGGCCCCCTCTTGGGCCCGTCTTGGGGCCCTCTTGGGCCATCTTGGGCGCCTCTTGGGCCGTCTTGGGGCCCTCTTGGGCTGTCCTGGGGCCCTCTTGGAAGCTTCTTGGGCCGTCTTGGGGCGGTCTTGGGCGCCTCTTGGGCCGCCCTGTAACGTCGGAAAGCCCAAAAGACAACTTTGTTGAAAAATGTACGTTTTACGAAGGGAATGGGCCAATTTTTGCGTCTAGGGGCCCTCTTGGGACGCATGTTGGAGGCTTCTTGGGGCCTCTTGGGGGCGTCCTTGGACGTCTGGGGTCTCCTGGGGCCTCTTGAGGGGCCTCCTGGGGGCCTCCTGGCGGCCTCTTGGGGCGGAAGGCTCGAGCTTGCGGTTCGTGGTCCCCCTCTGGGCCCCCTCTTGGGCCCGTCTTGGGGCCCTCTTGGGCCATCTTGGGCGCCTCTTGGGCCGTCTTGGGGCCCTCTTGGGTTGTCCTGGGGGCTTCTTGGGCCGTCTTGGGGCGGTCTTGGGCGCCTCGTGGGCCGTCCTGTAACGTCGGAAAGCCCAAAAGGCAACTTTGTTGAACATGTACGTTTTACGAAGGGAATGGGCCAACTTTTGCGTCTGGGGGCCCTCTTGGGACGCATGTTGGAGGCTTCTTGGGGCCTCTTGGGGGCGTCCTTGGACGTCTGGAGGCCATCTTCAGCATCTCGGAGCCTTCTTGGAGGCCTCTTGGAAATTTTTTGGGCCGTCTTGGGCGCTCCTGGGGCCGTCTTGTCTGACCGGGGAGGCCTCCGGCAAGCCCCGACGAGCCTCCGGGCCCCCCGGGGTGCACATTTGTGGTCGAGGTCCCGGCCCCGGGCCCCCGGACCCGGTGCGCCGTTATATGTATATACATACATACATACATACATACATACATGCATACATACATACATACATCCATACATACATGCATGCATGCATACATACATACATAAATAAATACATACATGCATACATGCATGCATGCATGCATGCATACATCCATCCATCCATGCATGCATGCATGCATGCATGCATGCATACATACATACATACATGCATACATATATGCATGCATGCATGTATACATACATACATACATACATACATGCATGCATGCATGCATGCATGCATTGCATGTATAATACATACATACATACATACATACATACATACCATACATACATACATGCATGCATGCATGCATGCAGCATGCATGCATGCATGTATCCATACACACATACATGCATACATACATACATACATACATGCATTGCATGCATGCATGCATGCATGCATATGCATACATACATACATCCCATGCATGCATGCTGCATGCATGCATTGCGCATGCATGCATGCATGCATACATCCATGCATACATACATAATTACATGCATGCAGGCAGGCAGGCAGGCATGCATGCATGCATGCATGCATACATACATACATGCATGCATGCATGCATGTATACATACATACATACATACATGCATGCATGCATGCATGCATGCATGCATGCATGCATGCCATGCATACATACATACATACATACATACATACATGCATTCATGCATGCATGCATGCATGCATACATACATACATACATACATTACATACATACATACAAACATACATACATACATACATAGCTACATACATACATACATACATACATGCACTTACAACACACAAAAACGAGCAACACCAAACACAAAAAAACACTAGACCCCCTTCTGCTGCGACATTATTCGAGCCGCATCGAGATGTGGGGGCCCTGGGGCACCAAAGAAAGCCGAGAGAACGCGCGTTGCAAGAAAGAACAAATTGCAACGCCAGGACCTCAGGGGGGCTTGGCACCGAGCGGACCTTGGCCATGTGCAGAAAAAGAAAAAACGCCATAAACATACACTTCTGGCGCTGCGCGCAGATTTCTTGGATCTGCGCTGGACACCCCCCCCGCGGCGCCGGTGGGGCCCCAGCGCAGGTCCAAGAAAACAGCGCGGAGCGTCGAAAGTGTATGCTTATGGCGCTCGTCCTTCTTCGAGACCCTGGCCATGTGGCCCCAGTCGAGCAGGCCGCATCGGTCTGAGAAGCCCCCGGGGCCCGAACACAGGCGGGAGAACGCCCGCTGCAAAAAAAAAAACGGCAGCGCCAGGACCTCAGCGCGCGGACCTTGGCCATGTGGCCCCAGTCGAGGAGGCCCACGGTGGCGCCCAGGGCAGCACGCTCCGGCCCGGGCGGCGGCGCCGCGCCGCGCCGCGCGGCCACCGAGGCCACCCCAGCCACGAGGGCCACGGACAGCACGGCGAGCACGGCCAGCCTGAAAGGCGTTCTCAGGTTCTGATTTCCCACCGGTCGGAAGAAGTAGGTAGAAGCATGAAGTGGTAGGGCGCTGAAGGTAGATTGGGTGTCCGCCCGCCCCCCTATAAGGGGGACGGAGAAGGTTGAGCCACTCGATCATTGAAGTAGGAAGGCGCTTCAAAGTGGATTGGAACCTGGGTCTCCAAAAATATACCAGCTTTTAACGACCAAGGGGTCACCGAAAAAAGGGCCCCGCGTTCTTCGCGAGGGGACCTGAGTTAGGAGGGCCAGAAACATAAGGGAAGTAGTGGGTCGTGGGTGACGATCGAAGGAGGGTGGTGACAGGTGCCCTTTTCGAGCCCTCGAGGCCCTCTTCTGGGCCCGAAAGGGCTCCTCCAGTGGCCCTGAAAGCCCCATTTTATGCAGCCCTCACCGCTCTCCCATTCATCGCCCCCCCCACGACGATCAAGAGCGGGTCTTACGCGAGGTGGCGTTGCGACCCCACGCAGTGTCCTGCGCGGGCCGCCCGCGCGGCACGCCACACTGGAAGCGAGGGCGCCCGCGCGCGACTCTACACCTTGCGAAATGCTTAAGAAATCATGGGTTAAGAAATTCATAGTCTCAGAACTTTAATAAAAAAAACCGAAATTTCTATTGAAATCTTAGGATTTACATTGAAACGTTAAGAATAATCGAGACTCTGGCCGAAAACTTGGGTTTTCTTAAGCATCGCCTAAGGTGTACGCGGGCAACTCTCACGCCAGTGTCGGCGACCCCGTGTCTTTGCGCCGGGGGTCCCAGCGCGGAGATTCAAAGATTTGGCGAAACTCTCCCGCCGATTTTGGCAGCGGGCTGGGTTCCTGGGTCCCCGGGCTCCGGGTCCCCGGGCTCCTGGTCATTGCTTCGGGGCCGATTTCGGTGGGCTCCGGGTTGCTGGGTTCCCGGTCGATCTCCTCATCGATCAAACCATCCACTGAAAAGGGTTTTTCTTCTTTTGGTGTAATGTCACGTTTCCCGTTCCTCGGAATTTCGTCGGGTTCCCCGGGTTCTTGTTCTCACTGCAAACGAGTTCCTCGAGGGATCCCCACTCTTGTGTCCATACAAGGGCCCTTGGGTTTCCCGGTCTTGTTCGTGGTCTGAATTCCTCGGATTCGCCGGTGTTGTTCCTCGGATTTTCTGGGCTGGTTCCTTGCTTGGAATCCTCGGCTTCCCCGGTCTTGTTCCTTGCTTGAGTTCCTCGGGTTCGCTGGATTCGCGGCGATGACGGGCGTTATGGCTCGAAGTGGTCGTTCGGGTGACCTCAGATCCTTGCGTTGATTCACAACGGGACCCTCACAGATCGCTCGGGCTCGAAAAGTGACGCAGAAAGATGCGGTCCGGGGCTCCAGTCGCGATGTTTTGCCATGTTGTTTTTTATTTGCAACGTCGGATGGCAGGGTCCTCCATCTGGGCACCCCCCTGGAGCCGTCTTGCAAGCCTCTTGGGCCGTGTTGGAGGCATCCAGGGCTGTTTTTGCTGTCCCCCCCCAGGTGGCATGAGGGCGCTGAGGCTTCGTGGGACCCCTCTAGAGGTACCCAGACAGCTCGAAGAAGGTGGTCATGCCTCTGCACGAGCAGGTCAGCCGCAGGCAAACAAGAAAGAGGCAGAGGTGACCGCAGCCACTGCAACTCTGTCCGGGCCCAAGCAACGAGAAGGCCTCTGGGGCCGTCTTGAGGCCCTGTTGGGTCGTTCTGGGGCCGTCTTGGGAGCCTCTCTGGGGCTACTTTGGGTGATCTTAGAGTAAGGTCGGGCGTCTCCTCCTGCAGGAAAACTTTGGACGAAACAATGAGTTATATATTATAAATATTATATTATATATATATATATATATATATTATATGTACATATAACCAAAAATGCTCAAAAAAATCGTCCCCATACTATTCTTAAATTTTTCCTCCTGTGGGACAGGCCCGACTTAATCTTAGGGGCATCTGGGGGAGCGGGGGGGGCGGGCGTAACGCCCCCACCAGCACCACAACTGCGCTGTGCCGGACGCACTGCGGCAGTGCCGGCGGCGCACTGAGAGGGGGTAGATTGCGTTATGGGGGAAGGGGGACGGGCATAACGCGCATTATCGCCCACGGGGCAAAACATATCCTCGAGCCCCGATCTTCCAGACATCCTCCAGACGTTTCGCCTTTCTCGCAGGTCCGAGGTTCGCGGCCCGAGCAATCGAGCTGAAGCTTCTGTCTGCCTTTCAGGGGCCTCCAGGGGGGCCCCTCCCTGGCCACGGCTGGCTTTCTGACTCGAGCGCACCCCAGCACGGGACCGGCGGTCGACTTTGTGGCCCCCAAGCCCTGCCATCCCCGCGACCTTGAACACAAACCACGACGGGGCGCGCTCCGCTACTCTCGGCCTCCCGGGGCCCGTCCCCGGCCGCGGGACCGGCGTAAAACGACTCGGTCGGGGATCTACTGACCTGGGTCAGTGCAGACCCGGGCCAGTCAAGCTCTGCAGGATCCTGCAAAGTCCTGCACCCAAGCCCGGGTCAATGCACCCCTGGCTCTGCAGGATCCAGCAAGATCTGGCGCTCTGACTGACCCCCGTTGGCGTTGACCCCTGTCTCGTGAGCCTCGACTCGGGATGAGAAGCTCGTCCCCGGGAGGGACCCGTCGCGAAAAAAATCACGACGTCGGGAGGTTGGAATCTCCGACGACATGACTTTTTCCATCCAGGCGGTTTCCCTCGATTTCGGGTTCTGGGGCCCTGGACGCTCATTCTGGGGACCTTCCTGGAGACACTCGCTCCACTCGTGCGCCGAAGCTGCGTCGAGCGTCCGTCGATTTGGGCCGAGCGTGAGCCGAAGAGATCCGCAAGGCGGGGCCCCAGGAAGGTCCCCCCAACACGAGCACCTAAAGGGGCCCGTGGTCGGGCCCGCCGGAGGTCAAAAGCGAGCCGCCAGCCCAGGGACGCGCCATCAGGCCCTGGCCTTCCAGAGCGCAGAAAAAAAAGCACTCCAGGCCTGCAGATCTGCCTGGCCTGCCTCAAACCTCGACAGGAATTGGGACGTCGACGTCCTGGTGCTATATTTGTCCGCCCTCCTGGAAGGTCAGGGGATAACTGGGCGGGGGATGCCACCGCCCGCGAAGCACCTGTCCTGGGACCCTGGGGAGGCGGTGGCTACCCGGGGGCCGCCCTCGAGCCCAGACGTATCCAGATCCAACGCCCCCCGAGCGTCTATGGGAAGGTCCGCTGCGCAGGCGGTGGATCTGGATGAACCCCGTCCTCGCCATTTCGATCCACGAGATATATTTTGTGCTTTCGTCGCCTCCTCGGAAGCAGCAGGGACGACCACGAAGGGGCTGCGCAAACGAACCTGATGCAGGCCGCGGAACGACGTTTAGCAGGTCGAGGATGCTTGGAGGATCGGGGCACGCTGGGCCGAGGTCGTCCACCCAGCAAGGCGGAGTCAGACCTCTGGCAGCCGGCAGGCTTGCCAGCATCGCCAGCCCCATGGGGATGTCGAGACCTGGCATGCGACCAGCTCGCAGGTCCCAAACCTCGTGCGTGCGGGAAGAGCAAGAGAGCAACCGTCCTGCAAAAGAGTAAATGGACACGCGCTGACATCCTTGACACCGGCGTAAAATCGATTACATCTAGGAGCTCGTCATGAACATGAGAGCGAACACTGTCATGCGAAACCTGCTTCTGCAACCGAGAAAACGGGTACGCTGTGCTCGTTCGGAGCCCCTACCTGGAGAAGAGATGTGTGGTGTACACACGCGGGTGAAGGCTTCGCTGCCTACTTGTGATCATCTTCTCCCAGCAGCCCTCTGACATCATACCCCGAATGCCCAAGGTGCTTGACGTAAAGATTCAAGTACTGGATACCCTCATTCGTGTGACCACAGGCAACTTTGATCTGCACCTTTCCGAACTTTCCCCACTTCGGCGTTTCGTGGATCTGGCTCCGGGCTTTGAGAGTGAATCCGCCGAGAGGGGTCGCCTCTGCCCACTCTCCTGTAATTATTCAGCGCTTGACAGTGCAGATCCGCACACTGTCCACCCAATCGACGTGCGTCAGCTTGTACACGAAGCAGCGCATTCTGGGCAAGCTCTCCGTTGGGAATTTGAATCAATGAAGGGGAACTGGAACACACAAATAAATAGACACAAATAAAATAATCCCCCATATTTTCGCATATTTTCTTGGTTTTTGTCTTCCCCCCCACTTCCCATATTTTCCCATATTTTCCTGGAAATCGACAAATAATTGTGTCTGTGTGTTTTTCCCCCTCCTGAATCAAGACCAGCTTGCCAAACCTCATCAAGTGGGCCCCGGAAGTCTGGGCCGGCCCCTCGTCCCCAGCCGCTTCCTCGCCGCCCCCGCGAAGGCCCACGAGGGCCCCCGGAGGCCGAACACTGCCAAAAACCCGCCCGCCCCTTCTTTTGTCTGGGGCGCCGGATTCCTGGGAGGAGGAGGGAGGAGGGAGGAGGGAGGAGGGAGGAGGGAGGAGGGAGGAGGGAGGAGGGAGGAGGCGAAAACCCCTGAAACTCGACGCTGCAAACCAAAAATACAGCAGCGCGGCACCTCGCGACCGGAGCCCCCCCAGACCCGGTCTTGCCGTGTGTAGCTTCTCGAGCTTCGAAGCGACCCCTGCGAGGGCCCCGCGGCCCGAGGTGGGAAACGAAAACGCCCGCGGCGAAGAAATTGCTGGGCCAGGACCTCGGGGCATCTCTGGGCAGAGGCCCCCCCCCCCCAAAACCCCCGACGCCGTGATTTCTCCGAAGCCTCGACCCTCGAGCTCTGGGCCCCTTCCCCGGGGCCGGTGCTTTTCCTCCCGAGCCGTCTCCTCAGGGTCCCGAGGGGTCGCCCCCGGAGGCCGAGAATTTAGCGCAAACCCTCCTGCCGCGATTTCTTCTCGGGTCGGGCGAAAGGGGGGGATAGCAAAGGGGGGGGTGAGAATCAGCTCACGTATAGCTGATTCTCCTGGCGCCTCCCGGCGATGGAGGCGCCCATGCATCGAGGAATGGGCCCGGCGGCGGGGCCGAAACCAGCTGCATACTGCATGCAGCAGATTCCGTAACCCCCCCTCTCCCAATCCCCCCCTCTCGTCCGGCCCGATCTTCACAGCGCGGGAGGAACTCATGGGGCCCCCCCTCTCCTTGGCACCTGCCCGGGGGCGGGAGCGCAGCGCGCGCCTCCCGCGGGGCGGCCCCGGCCCGCCCGCGGCCCGCCCGCGCCGCGGCAGCAGCCCCTGGCGCTCGACGCCCGGCTCGGGGTCGTCGTGGCCCGTGCGGCCCGGGGGGTCCGCCCTCGCCATGGCTCGGGCCGGGGATCGACCACAGTCGGGGCGCTGACCTGAGGAGCCCTAGATAAGGAACGAGGCCCCTTTGCTCCAGAATTTGACCTTCGATTTCCCTTCGGAAGCCAGAGGAAAGCCCAAGGCAAACTGTGAAGCAATCGAGGAACATGGAGCCCCTCCCCCCAACGAAAAGGGTTCCTTCTTCAGGGCACCGACTGTAGGTTCTTGTTGTTAATGCTGCCTGGCAGTGGCGCAGACGGCTGCGAAGATCGACACAGAGGTGTTGAGATATCCTGGGGATCCTCCCCTACAAGTTGGAGGGAGGCGCCCAACGACCGACGAGCATGCTCAGGCTCGGGTGGTATAAAATGCCCTCCATGATGCAAGAGTGCACCGGCGAGGCGATCCGTATAGAACCCCTACAGACCCTCATCCATAGGAATCCGTAGAAGAATGCCAAGTGCCGCCTTCGGAGGCGACTAGCAGACTGGATTTACCCCAGAATGGGTCTTTCCTGGGAGGCACAAAGACATGCCAGTATGTCCTCCTTGGGGGCGCGCGCGTCCGACCCGAACATATAGTATGCCCATCTTGCAGTAGATCGTTTCCGTTTCCCGAGCGGTGTGGTCAGAGAGCGCCCGCCACGACGTATATACCATAAGATTTCTCCGTGCGCGCGTCGCCCCTGGTGGGGGGCGACGCACACGTAGTATTAGTATGTTGGGGTAACGCCGATGTCCTGCTGAATCCACGACAAACCGTGGATTCGGCAGGAAAGATCAGTTTTCGGGTACAGTCAACCCGTATCATCAGGATGCGCGTTGCGAACGCAAGGGCCTCGGAGGGCCACGTTGACGTTCTTCGCACGAGGTTGGCCAGCGAAAGCGGCCAAGGATGGACCCAGGAGGCAAGGATGCTAGGGCACCCTTGGAGAGCTGCCCATCCTTACACCCTGCGAAATGCTTAAGAAATCATGGGTTAAGAAATTCATAGTCTCAGAACTTGAATAAAAGCCCAACACTTCTATTAAAATCTTAAGATTTACATTGAAACGTTAAGAATAATCGAGACTCTGGCAGAAAACTTAGGTTTTCTTAAGCATCGCCTAAGGTGTACTGTGCGGGTTGACTGTGAATCGACTCTGCAGCCGATCCCCTGCTCGAATGGCGGAGGCCGCGCTCGTTCGGGTCGGCGGGCCGTGGGTTGCGGGAGGGCCTGCTGGCTGCAACGAGTGGGTGACTCCTCCTCCTCCTCCTCCTCCTCCTCCTCCTCCTCCTCCTCCTCCTCCCCCTCCTCCTCCTCCTCCTCCTCCTCCTCCGAGTGGGTGACTCCCTCGGGTCCGGACGTTCTCTCGCCTTTGTTCGAGCAAAGACCGACCGTCCTGTCATTCCTACACGCCTGCCACGAGATGTTTCTAGAGATCCCCGAATTAGCATGCTCTACTAAGAACAGCAATAATGCTCGTATAACAAAAACGGCGTGATAAAACAACAGATTGTCTGCCAGGAACATGTCGCGCAGATCACCCAAGGTGATTAGAACATTCTTTGGTGGGCCTATATGCCAGCCATGTCGCCTCGCCACTGCTTCATCTGTTCGGGCCCCAGGAGCCTCACAGACCGATCCGGCTCGAAACAAGGCGCAGAAAGATGGGGTCTGGGGCCGCGGGCGTGATGTTCCCCGCTGTTGCAATTCGTTCGCCACGCAGGATCCCAGGCCTGGGGGGCCCATGCCGCCCCCCCCCTATAGAGCCCACGCCCCGCCATGGTGCTGCCCCTGACCGCCGGCAGGACGTGGGGGGCCGAGCTGCCTCGAGGAGCAGCGAGGAGGCGGCCAGAGCCCCCCGGGGGGGGGGGGGGCCGTCCGGCGCAGTGCTCTCGATGACTCGGAGGAGGGCCAGGCCGAGGCGACAGCGGCCCCCCCCTTGTCAGAGGCCCAGGGGGACACGCGGAAGGCCGCGGCGGCGGTGTTCGCGTGCGCCTCCCCCGCCCAGCACAGCGCTTCCTGGCCCCACGGGAAGCTCCACCGAAGGCCCCAGTGGCAGGGTCCACATGCGTCCGCCCGGCCCACTTCGGCACACACACACACACACACACGCGCCGTGCCCTCATAGGAAGCACCACCGAAGGCACTCATAGCATGGTCCACATGCGTCCGCCCAACCCACTTCGGTACACCCCTCACACGCTTCGTGGGCCCAATAGGGAGCTCCACCGAAGGCCCTAGCGGGAGGGTCCACATCTGTCCACCCGACCCATGTTGGTACACGCCTCAGACGCTGCATGGCCCCATAGGGAGATCCACCGAAGACGGCGCTCACAACTGCGCGACTCACACACGCACATGGTTGGGTCCCTCGAAAGGGTAATTTTCGTTGTCGTCATCGTCGTCATCGTCGTCGTCGATCGTCTCGTCTGCCTCGCCGCTGCCTCGCTGGGCTCCTCGGAGCTCTCGACCCAGGACCCTACAAAACGGGCCCCAGGAGGCCCGAAGAGGCCCAGAGAAGATGCCTCCAGGAAGAGGGTTTCTCCGAAGGGCTTAGGCGACCGGTCCTCCTCCTCCTCCTCCTCCTCCTCCTCCTCCTCCTCCTCCTCCTCCTCCTCCTCCTCCTCCTCCTCCTCCTCCTCCTCCTCCTCCTCCTCTCCCTCCTCCTCCTCCCCCCTCCTCCTCCTCCTCCTCCTCCTCCTCCTCCTCCTCCTCCGTCTCCTCCTCCTCCTCCTCCTCACCCTCATCCCCATCCTCCACCTCCTCCTCCTCCTCCTCCTCCTCCTCCTCCTCATTCCCTCCTCCTCCTCCTCCTCCTCCTCCACCTCCTCCACCTCCTCCTCCTCCTCCTCCTCCTCCTCCTCCTCCTCCTCCTCGGGTCGCCTACGGCCCTGGGGGAAACCGTGCACCTCCAGGAGGGCCCCCGAATCAAGGCGCCCCCTCCCCACCACGCTCCTCGTGCAGGAGCCAGGACACGCGTGCCACTGGTTATTGGGGGCGTCTTAGGGGCCTCCTGGAGGCCAGACAAGGGGGGCGAAGGATCTCTGGGACGCCTAGGCGGGCCTCGGTCACCACCTGGACGAGGGCGACAAGGAGAATGAGTAATTCGGAGCAGAATGAGGGGTGGGAGACGGACGAGAGGCCCGAGGAGGAGAAAGAGGAGGAGGAGGAGGAGGAGGAGGAGGAGGAGGAGGAGGAGGAGGAGAAGAAAAAGGAGGGGGAGAAAGAGGAGCAGTGGGAGGAGAGATTGGGAGCTAGGAGGAGGACGAGGTAATGGGGAGGAGACGGGGCATGTGCGCCACTTGCTCTTCTGCACGGCCGATTCTTCGACACGGCCGATCCTCAAGGGCGCGGACGGGCGCGCTGGGCCTTCACACCGCTGGCCACCCGGCGCTCGTTCAGCTTGATCCTCACCTGCGGGGCCGCGAGCCTCACCCTCACCCCGCCTGGGACCCCCTCCGCCACCAGCAGCAGCGTGCCCAGCAGAGAGGCCACAGGCCGTGGGGTGGACGGCGGAGGAGGCCCGAGGACGGGATGCATCTGCTGCAGACGACGAACGGCACGAAAGACGAAGGCACGAAGCAGGAATTAGCGCAGGTGCCCTCCCAAAAGCAAGCCGACGATCCCTCCAGAGCGGTGGGGTGGAAAACAGAAACGCAACAGGAAAGAAGGTACCCATCGGTCGGGAGAGTTTAGTAGTAACATTGCGTAGGAGGGCGTTGATGGTAGATTGGGCTCCGCCCGCCCCAAACAGAAAAAGAAACAGGGAACCTCATTCGAGAATTGAAGTAGGAAGGCGCGCAAAGTAGCTTGCAATCTGGACATCCCACAACACAGCATACATACTTTCAACAACCGATGGGGACTGCAGATAGCGAATAGCACGAAGAACGAACACACCAAGCAGGAGTAGAGCAGGTGCCCTCCCAAAAGGAGGCGGAGGAGGAGGAGGAGGAGGAGGAGGAGGCGGAGGAGGCGGAGGAGGAGGAAGCGGAGGAGTATGGCTTGAGCGGCCCCGATCTAATGCAATCTAGAGACGACAGGTTGGGCACGAAGAATTAAATACGAAAAATCTGGAATATTATAAACGAATATTGCAATCCAGTACAACGGTAAATGCAATCGTTTAAAGTGTGTTATAGTATATCTATACACGTATTATACATATATAATATATACCATATATAGTTGCATATATGCATATTTGTTATAAACATATAATATATATATACACACTATGTATTGAATATATGTCATGCAAAGTATATATATATATACAAAAATAGTGTGTATACATAACAGCATATATATATATATATATACACATATATGTAGACATATATGTATGTATGTATGTATGTACACACAAATGTATATCTAATAGATATTCTCTCCGCACCGCCCTCGAGGACATAACGACTTACGGCGCAGGCGCAAGCTCGGGCCCTCGCGCGTACATCGACGGCACGGCTTCACAAGGCTGACGCTGTCACTCCAAGGGCAACGCGCGGCGACAGCCAGCCGCTCCAAGGGCAACGCAAGCATTCACTGACACCCCCCTCGCGGCATTCACTGACAAGACCTCGGAGAGGAAGGAGACAGCCACCCTCCGCTACGCAAGGAGGAAGGACACCCGATCTACGGGTTATCGTTTATGATTAAGTAGAGCGATAGAAGGTAGAGGTGAAAGTGCGCGGACACGCGCGCAAACACACGCACACACGCTCTCTCTCTCTCTCTCGCGCGCACTCTCTCACGCGCACACGCGCGCACGCTCGCGCGAACGCACGCGCGCGCACCTCTCACGCATACACGCGCACACACGCGCGCACGCGCACGCACACGCACGCGCGCACACACGCGCACACGCACACACACACGCACGCACGCATACACCACCACCGCCACCACTTCCAGCACTACCACCGTCACCGCCCGCCCCGCCTGCCCACCCGCCCGCCCGCCACCCCCCCCCCGCCCCGCGCCGCCGCCGCCGCCGCCAACAACGACCCGCCCGCCCGCTCGCCACCCACCCAGAATTGAGCGGCGGCCGCGCAGTCGCCCCGCGACGACGCGGCGCCCCCGGCGCTGCAGCGGCGTAGCGGTTTGAAGTCTGTCGCGTCTGCGAGCCGCCCAACTTTCCTGCGGCGCCAACGCGCCCAAATCCTGCATCACTTTCGGGTCGGACGACGCGCGAGGGTCGCAGCCCTTCGCCAATGAGCGCGCGCGCTCATTCGCGTCTGCGGAACGCGCGCGCGGGGCGCGGGCAAGTAGATGTCGCCGCTGGCAGGCGCGTCGCTCGTCGCCACTGCCGCCTATTGACGAGCCCATTGGCCCGGCGCCGCTGCCGCCCAACCAAGCGGCCTGCGCCCAGTGGCCCATGGCCCAGCCCATGGACGGTGGCCCAATGGCTTCCCAGCGACGACCGCGCGGACTGCCTCGGCCGCCCCTTTCGCTGGAGATGTCGGACTCCGCTTGAACTCTGCTGGGCGGCGGCGCCGACCAGGCTGCGATGGCGCGGCGGCGAGGGGGCCCGCTTCGGGCAGTCGGCGCGGCCCCCGCGGGACTGATTCCTCATTCTTGGCGCGGGGGGGGCCCGAGCGGCCGCGAGGCCCCTGGGTCATGCGCCAGCGCCACCGCGAGCATGGGGGGTGGGAACCTGAAGAGCAGCTTCGCTCCAGCGATGCGTTTGGAGCGCACGGCACCGATGCCTGCGCCGAAAACAACGCCTTGACATTGCATTAGAAGCCCCAGGCAGCGTTAGATTGCTGAACGTTGTTTTTGTCAACGCTTGAATATTCGGCGCGGTTTTTTGGTTATTCCGCGCGGATTATCCGAAGTCCCGGGGAAGTCCCGGAGAGGCCTTCTCCATGGATATTGAGGGCATCTTTTTTTGAGGATGTCACAGCTAGAATGCCCATTTTGGATTTCACGTCGAAGTCCCTGGGGAGTCCCGGGGAAGTCCCGGGAGGGGGGGCGGAAAAACCACAACGGGAAATTACGCAATAATTCAAAATAACAGAAACGAGGAACCCAACTGAAAATCCGAAACGGAACGACGTGGCCAAATTGAATCAAGAAGTTGCGCGCGGCGCGCAGCCCGCAGTTTTTCCGGCAGTCCTCTGGACAAAAAAAAAAAACCTTTTGGGAGCATCCCCGCAGGGTCGGTGGCCCCGACCGCCCGAATTCCAAGCGGGTCCGCTTCTCCGCGCGGGCGAACACGGCGCGTGACCTAGCGCGCCCCCTCGGGGCGCCGCGGGCTCGCCCTCGAACTGAACGGGCCCCGCAAGTGCCGGGGCCGCGATGATATGACATGGCGCCGCGGCACTAGTCGCCGTCGAAATCCCGCCACAGGCCGCGCTGAAAAGCTGGGCCCGCGGCCGAGATGTAGAGGGACCACGGGCGCCACTCCGCCAGAAAGTCCTGGGGCCTCGAGCTCCTTGCGATCTGGCGCGGGGACCGTGCGCAAGACCGCGCGGCCCCTCAAGATCTGGCCCTCCACTTCGCGGCCCGCGCTCCGCTTAGCCCCCGCAGCAAGCGCGCGGGCCGCTGCTTCCGCGGCGCAACTCGACGCGCCGCAATCAAGGCCGCCGCGAGCAGCGGCGCGGCCACCGCTGCCCCGACTGCAGCCGCGCACGGCGCATCATCTCATCGACAGCCCCGACGCAGCCAATAGACTATCGCGCGGGGGAGGGGGGGGGGGGGGGGTGGGGGGTGGGGCAAAGGAGGGGGAAGGGGGCGGGGGAAGGAAGGGGGGGGGGGCGGAGGGGGGGGCAAGGGGGAAGACGAACGAATGGGTTTATGATTGGGCTTCTTAGCAGGAGGATCACTGGCTGACTGACAAAAACTGACTGACTGGACACCATAGCTCAGTCCTGCAACGCACCAACCTGCTGCGCGTGCTGGAACTGCGATGCTCTGGCGAGTGTTGGAGAGCCTGCCTGGCAGCTCTCTCAGCTGCAAATCCTAGCGCAAACGCAACCTAATCCGAATCGGTTAGGAACTTGTCGACAACTGCTAACGCGGCCTGGGCGTCACGGGGCAACCGCCGCTCTGACCCCGCCAGCTGGCCGTGAAAACAATGACGCCCGGTCATTCCTGTAGTTACCGCTGAAGGTGTGAAACGCGGGTAGATCGCTGGCAGGTCGCGGGCAGGGTCGCGGGGCGGGTCGCGGGGCGGGTCGCGGGGCGGGTCGCGGGGCGGGTCGCGGGGGGGGGGGGGGGCCCGGCAACAACGACAGCAAAGGCGACAACAACAACAACATCAACAACAATAACCAACTGAACAACAACAACGCAAGAATCATCATGCGAACCACTGGTTTTGTTTTCAGCCGCGCACCCAGGGACAATCAATGAATGACCGTTCGGCCCCTCGCTCCGATAAACAGATGTTTTCTCACATGATATATGTAAATATAATACTTCGTGTTTATATCTATGTATACGTTTACATATACATATATATATATATATGTATACATATATATGAATGTATATGTGTATATATATGTGTATATATATATGTATATGTATGTACGTATATATATACGTATATATGTATATACACACATATATACATAAATACATATATATATATATATATATATATATATGGCATATGTCTATGTATATACAAATATGTAGACGTATTTAATATGCACGAAATATGTATACAATATCATGTATGTTTGTAGCTACCATATGAACATATGATAAATATTTTTCGAATATTACGTATCCGAATATTCAAATTAATCGCATTTAATACTTTTATTTATGTTGCGGTTCTCCAGAAAGTCGCATTAGATCGGGGCCGCTCAAAGTATGGCCAGAGCGGGACGAGCATCGCGCGCTGGCCCCTCTCGGCCCAGGGCTTGGCTCGCGTGTCTCTGACCCCTGCTGCTCCAGCCACTGGCCCCGGCTCCTCCAGCCAGGGGCCGATTTCGCGCGAGAAGGGCCCCTCCCTGCCTCCTGCCCAGCTGCGGAGGAGGAGGCCCCCACGAGGGCTTCCGAGGAGGGAGGAACCGGGTCGAGGCCTGCCCCATCGGAGGGGACTTCTGTCGCCGCCGGCGGGGGGGCCACCCCCCCGCCAGCGACCCGACGGGGGCTGCCCTCGAGCGCTCTCCTCAACCAGGCCACGCCTGGAGGTGAGGAGGGCGCTTGCCCGCAGGGGGTCTGGCGATTACGCGCCTGCCGTGCGCGGACAGACCAGGGAAGCACTGCAGTCCGATCTTCTGGAGGTTTCCCCCTGAGGGGACCCCTGAACCTCCACAGACTTGGCGCCAAAACACCCCGCGGAGGAAGCGGGCTCGGTGGGGCCCGTGGACCTGGAAGGGATCCCCGGACAGTCGGCTTGGAGGAGCGCGCCTCTGGATCACCCAAACAACAGTCGGATTGGAGGAGCGCGCCTC